TTCAATAAACTAATTAATCAAAACATAGTTAGGGTCATTAAGTTCGGATTTTTTAAAGGGTTATTTCACATATAAATATATATATATATATATGAAATTGTACTAATTTAGGTACATTTTTCTACACAACTAACAGTTCTAGACTAGCCCTACACTGTAATAGAACCGGTTTTTTAATAACCTATGTTAATTATTAATCCAAAATTTTATTAAAAGTTATTAAAAAAACCGGTTCTATTACAGCGTAGAGCTAGTCTAGAACTACAGTTTAAAAAAAAAACATATCCAATTTTGTTTGTTGGTTGTGTAGAAAAATGTACTGTACCTAAATTAGTACAATTTCATATATATATATAAATTTATATGTGAAATAACCCTTTAAAAAATCCTTGATCAGTTATGGATATGTTTGTGAGTAATTACACACACATATCCATACAATAACTATAACTTATTATACCATTATCGTCAAAAAAAAAAATTTTTTTTTTTTTTTTTTGAATTAGCTGGATAAACATAATTTAGTTTTGACGTCACGATGGAAGGATTCAAATCGTTCTTTGTCCGCTTTCGACCAACTAACGCTAACGCTTATGTCAATCAATGAGATTTTCTGGCACGTGATTATGCTGTGGCTGATTGACCTACGTACGTACGTATTTAAAAAGTGTATCAGTATCTTAAAATACGCATATTTTGATGTTACAACTTTCCACTCTGAAACGTAGACTTGTGACTTTCTTAGAAGAATTTAAACGGGCGAGACAATCTTGGAATGATCTCAATGATGAAGGTCTTACTCTAGCAAACACATTAGTCAATACAAAATTGCAAGAACGGTATATACCAATTTCTAGTAGTTGTAGTAAACTTATATGATTTCGAAAGATTATAATTTTATCGTTATATCGAATATAGACTTACAGACAATCCATCGGATTGCTCACCAGAGTCAAATGATTTCATACGCTCAAATGACGATCATGATATTCTTGATGACAAAGTTGCCACCTTGAGAGAATCATTTCAACAAATCGTCGAAAAAATGGTAGAATTTAGAATTTTTTTTAAATGTAATATATTACATAAAGTTATTTTTTTCATTTTTTTATTTTCATAAATAAAAACTCCATAGCAAAAGGGGATGGGTCAAAAATCAAAAATTTTAATTTTATGATAATATTATTCTAATCAATCTAGTTCTTCAAGATATTGAATTTTTTTGACACATTCCCTTTTTACTATGAGAGGCCCAAATATAACTTATAAATAGGCAAAACAACTTACAAAAATGAAAATGCAAATTCTTCAAATGGAATTCCTTCTTGAAGAAGCATGTGAAAGCATGGGCGAAGAATTTGTTTACAATAATCCATTATATTTATCATGTTCATTAGAAACATTTGGCAAGTTTATTTTAATTGTTAGATTGGTTTTTTATATTAAATGTAAATATTGTATAATATTGATTAATTAACTATTTAATTTTTTTTTATTAGTTGAATTTTCTGTTATAATTTTTAATATGTTTATTCAAGAAATGGATCTTAAGCAAAAAATAATTTTATCTCTTGAATTGAAATTGGAAAAACAACAATTTATGGTAATTCTATCAACTTGGTTAAATCAACCATATATTAATTTTGATAAAATAATAGAATTTGAAAATATTTGTAAAATTGAAATTGAAAATAAATAAAGAATTTAATTATCATATATAATATACAATAAATAAAGTGAACTAGAATTTTTTTAATTCTATTCTTAGGCTTACAAGATTGTTTATTATCATTGTTTATATCTTATTCCTACAGTAATGTAATCATTTAATTGGCCTTTTATAATATCTAGTTATTAATTATCTCCAGATTTTATTCAGAGTAGAGTATATTCAATAGCTGCATAATAAGTTTCCTACTTTCATTTTTTATTTTTTCTTATTTATTGCTAACTGCAGAATAGAACAAACTATATACTTTTCAAAATGAGAAATAAGATATAGAACTGAATAATGAAAAATTGAGCAAAAACTTTATTTTAGCAATGGTTTTTATCTTTGAATTCGATTTAATTGAAGTATGCTTAATCGTTGTCATTTATAGTAACATTTATTAATTTAATAAGTTTAATATATAATATTTTTGTTATTTGAAAAAATACAATAAAGTATTATTTATCTTCAGAATCAAAGCAATTTTGCATTTGAAGCTTTATACTAATTCTGAATCTGGCGGTTATTGTAAATATAATTTATGCTAGTAAAATTTTTGTTTCAAGGTTTAGGAACTAAAATTCTTGATTATCTACTTATATGTTTTAAATTTCATAAACTGTAATTAACTAGTTAGTTATTTCTAAATTTATAAAAATACAAACAATTTACAACTGACAAAAATTTATTATTTATACTGTATTATGTTGATAGGTTTGTGCCTAGTTTGTACTGTTACTAAATAATATATAAATATTAAACAGGTATAAAATAACTAGCTACTTAGTCTTTTTATAATGTTGTGTATATTTTAGTTTTTTATATTTTTGTTTTTCTATTAAATTTTATTATTTTTACTGCTTTGTTCCAAATAAAACATTCCTCAGTTTTTATAAATAAGAAACTTGATTTTAGTGGTGGATACAGTAGATAATCTCCTTTTATTTTAACACAAACATCTACTGTAGCATAATATCTATTATATGAAATATTATTACTGTTACAGTTAGTTTAATTAGTATTCATCTATTACCCACCAATTTTAACCACAAAATTGACAATTACAATTTCAAATAAAATTTGTTGTCTCTTTGCTAACCAATATAATTGCAAGATTGAGTAAAATTATATAGAAAAATAAAATTTCGCTAAATAAATAAATTAATCGTTATGGTTTATGATAATGGTGTAGTATATTGTATCATCAATATTGTATAAATTTCTAAAAGCTTATTTTAAGAATTTTTAGAGTATTAGTATATTTTTTATTTGAAATTTTTAAAGACACTAATATTTATATAATATCTACATCAACATATTAATTAAAATATTATATAATCAATAAGAGTATAATTGACTATAGTTGACTATAGTTGACATAAAATTCTGTGATTGTAAGTCAAAATCAAAATTTGTGGATTCCGAATCAACTTGTGTTATTTTGCAATGCATTTTGCTACAATAAATTTCTTGATGACAAATCTGTTAATCAACATCGTAAACCATTATTTTATTTTACATAAGATTATAATTTCTGTTATATCTGTCACACGAGCCAAAATGTTTAAAGTCTAAACAATTTTCCGAATTGGATAATATTCCTTCAAAAGTTATAAGTGTGTGAGAAGCTTCAAAAGCATAATTAGTATCACACATAGGTAATATAAGTCGCTGCAAATGTAAAAGGGCAAAATTGCCTTGTGAAAGTAGCTGTTATCCCCAATAATCACGTTTGTAATAATTAGTGTAGCTAGAATATATGACTAGAATATATGCATAAATAGTTTTGCGATATTGATTAATTAAAATTGAATTTGTGCCAAGTGGATTTTTAAATTAATTTGAAATTCTTTAATGATTTGAATGAATTTAAAATTAAGTTATGTTGATTTTAAATCTAGCAAGATTCCATTCCGGTGTACTGTACAATACACACATTAAAATTTTCAATTCTTATATGGTTTAAGCTTTAATTGTGCTATATTTATTATGCAAAAAATAAATTTAATATATTGGTCAAAGTTATATCTGTTGGTCCATAATCACAACCAATCATTTTCACAACAATCATCATACGTATTATAAAAATGAATCACTTTTTAATATGTATTTACTATATGAATGTTAAAATCTTTATTAATTTGAACAGATTAAATTGATGTGCTTTTTTAATTTATTCGGAGAGCTAAATCTATTTTTATTTTTTTTGTGCTTGTAAATATTATGAATACTGTATTAAAAGATCAAATAATTTCAAAAGCACATACATACGTTTCAAGTTGCTAGATACCGAACTAAATAATTCAACAGCATTAAGTGATCGTGGATTAATTTATTATGATTTCATTATGTATAAACTAACTCAACATTATCGCATCAACAAGTAGGTTCTGCAATAGCATGTTTTGTGAGATGTTTTTTAAAGATATTTCAAGAATCACAATAACTCATGACAGAAATTAAGATATGGTGCCGGAAGCTTATACCCGACAATCACGTGAAATGTTTCAATGTTTGTGTGACTGCAATTTTGACTAATAAAATTCATGTATTTCGTCATTCTTGCACATACTGCGCCAAAAGTATGGCATTTTTTTTAAAACGCTAAAACTTTTAAAGACAAATTTTTTCAAAAAAACTGACCGATATCTTTATACACAGAGGTGAGCTATCGGTTAATTTTTTTAAATAATTTTTCTTTAAAGTGTCATACCGATTTGAAGATTGGGGGTTTTTTTCAAACAGATATAACTTCCTACAGAAGAGCTTTTTTAAAAAAAAATTAACCGATAACTTTGTAGAGCTCACCTCTGTGTATAAAGTTATCGGTCAGTTTTTTTGAAAAATTTGTCTTTAGCGCTTTAAAAAAATGCCATACTTTTAGCGCAGTATGACGAAATACATGAATTTTATTAGTCAAAATTGCAGTCACGCAAAAATTGAAACATTTCACGTGATTGTCGGATATTAGCTAAGCCATACTATGTGAAGACAGGGATATTATCACAAGGATCACCTGACCCATGATCATTGAAATCGCTGGACCTAGTAGAGGTCATAGGTCCATTGAGTTTTACATGATTAGTGTAAGTAAGCCACAAAAACCAAATAGGGAAGTAGTACTTTTATTTCACTGCTTTTAGTGGTTGCCTGAAATCCTATTTTCTGACTAATTGAATGGTCCCTCCCTCCCTCCCTCTCTCCCAAAACGAAATTAAATTCAGGTAATCGAACAGACAAGTTACGACATATCGATGCTTTTCAATGCTGCAAAATCCATGATCATGTTTAGAGATTAGGCAGCTGTGCACACCCCACACTGCGCTGAGAAGCAGCTGTGTAAACCCCACACTGTTCTGAGAAGTGAAATGAAATAGCTGTGTACACCCAAATTGTTCTAAGAAGAAATAGACTAAGTGTAAATAGAATATGTTACAGCACCATTCCCATAGCTTTCTACATGATGTAACATGATTTAAATTGAATTGTGAAAATTTGATACATTTGAAATATATTGCATTTGTAATGAAAATCCGAGCTTGTATAATAATCTATTCATCATATTTTTAAGCTTATACTTGGTTCACGTTTTCTGGATATGGCCAATCAAAAATGTCACTACGGGTTTATCGGGGCCAATTAACAGAGCCCCGACCCGATCCGCAAAATTCCCGGTTAAACACGACCCGTCCCGTACCCTAGCTATTTCATTAGCTTAAAATTTTTTAAACAAATGATTTTTTTCGATAGAAAGACTTATTTTGGCTTTGCTCTTTGAAGTTTAACCTTGATTTGTGCAAATTTTGGATTTATAATAATCAATTTTAAGGGCTATACATCTAACTAAATTTTCAAAGAACATATCAATTGACCAAAAATCTTCAATATTAAATTTTACCATATATAGTTTTGATTTATATAGTATATCGCACACTCCAATACGTTGTCATCAATTTAGTTATTCAGTAAGTAATGTACGGCAGTACAGGACATTCGAAACTCGTACAAAAAAAAAATTTGATAGCGTATACTGTTAACGTAGACTTGTAAAATCTAATTTTTATATAATTTTTATAGATAACCCTTTTAGTCTGAATAAACCGTACGTAGTCATAATTTGCGTTTTCGTACCATACTATATATACTTCATGAATTTTGAGCAAAAATTTTTAAGCGTCTCGGACCAATCAGTTCCAAACTCATAATATTAACAAAATTCGATTGATCAATTCATTTAACAGTTAGTGGTATATGTTACAGTTACGGCTTACGTCATACAGTCATAATTTTGCGATTCAATGTGATCGAAGAATTTAAATTCGATAATATTTAAATTTGATAATAGATCTAGAATAGACCTTCCACGAGTGCAATCGATCTAATGTAATTTATGTAACATTATATATAGATTCTACAAAGTACACATTTCTTCAACAATGTATAATTATGAAGTATAACGCGTTTTATGGTTAACTTTTTCTTGCATACAAAACTTAAAGATTTATAAACGGATTTTATCTTGTAAATAAATGATTAATTACCGTATTTGCGCGTAATAACGCACATGGGCGTTATTTCGAAACTCTCATTTTTTAAAAATTTGTTTTTTGACTCAAATAAAGCCCATGCCGTCCCAAAATAACGCGTCCCCCTAAATATACCATATTACATATTTGACCGAATTTTTCGGGCTAAGTTCATTAATAAATGTAGGGCTTCCTCTTGTAACCCAAATTTGTCAAAATGATTCAAATTACCACGCATGCGCGTCCCGAAAAGCGCAGGGTCTCAAAATAACGCGTACCTGCGTGTTATTACGCGCAAATACAGTAACCTTGTTATCTGTTTAAGCAAAATCAAATGCATGTTCATGCAATGTTAGTCAGAAACAACTAATAAAAAACGTGAGCTGGAAATCAAATGCATGTTCATGCAATGTTAGTCAGAAACAACCAATAAAAAACGTGAGCTGGAAATTCCCGTGATAATTTGCAGTCAGTGCATTAATCTAGTTTAATACCGTTTTACATTATATACGTACGGTGCAGGAAACCTAAAAAATAAACTTCAATCACTTTATATAGAACAAAGAAACTAACTCATTGAAGAAA